GGGGTGGGTGGGGGGAGAGGGAGATTTCCATTTGTTTTTTTTTGTTGGGAGGGCAGTTTTCCTTTCCTTACCCAATGAGTGCAAATGCTCCATTCTTTGGGCCAGTTCTCGAGTCACGTTCTGATTAAAGCTTGGATTTAGCTACTGGGACAAATGCATACAAATGTATTTAGCGACTCCAAGGAGAGATTGCAGACGCTCTACACTCGCAAAAAAGTAAGTGTCTTTTCTTGGTTTAGTTGTTGAGCAAAAGCAGTATTTCTCCTGCCACTCGAGAATCTACGTTGGAAGTTTGGGAGTGCATTTGAATATAATCTGCTTAACTGCAAATGTCACCATCATTTTTCAGCTGCTTTACTTCATTCTGTCTTTGTTTTGACCTTTTCCCACCTGGTAGCTTTATCATTCTGGGATTTAAATGCCACAGGTACATCAGCAATATGATTAATTCTGCCTGAGCTTCTAATAATCTTGGGAGGTTAAAAATGTACATTATTTTGGGGTTTTGTTCATAGTTGTGGCATGTATCTTTGGGGGAATATGTATGTTGTCATTGCTACACGTTGACTAGATGTAATTTCAGTCTAAGAGCTGTATTTGTATTGCAATGAGAGCATTGTTGAGTGTCAGTAATGAGTTTACTGTAAAGCAGCCTCAGGTTTGAAGTAGTTGTGAATTTTCTTGCTCCTTTTATTTGGAAAGATGTTTCGTGTGCGGTTCTGGGATTGTGATTTCGCACACTGGATGGGAGAGCAGTCTACAAATTTCCACACAGGTAGCTATCGACAGAATTCACAAGGATATTTACAGCAAAATACCAAAGGAGGAAAAATTAGATTGTAAGAATATAATGGAAAAATATTTACTAGGCTAAACATACCAATATTGCAAATATACCTGAACTGCTTTTGAGCAGTCGACTTTCTTTCTATTGACAGCAGAGATTCACTGCAGTACTTATGGTTAAATGGTATATTCAGCCAATGGAGACTCACCTTTTACTTACAAAACATCTGAGTGGTTTCAATGTTTTGGTACAATGTTTGATCGTGTAATGTGTGACATTCATTGAAGGTGATTTTCGAGTTGACAACAGATTCACTGTTGTTGAGGAGTAAAGATTTGGACAGTTCCTATAGAACAAATTATTTTTCGACTCCAGGCAACGCTCGCCAACTCCCAGCTAGGAACCTACAGAGTGCTTCCCTATTGCCCTCGGTGATCTCCATTCCACCGCCAAGTTTTCTGATTTAGAACTGCAAGCCATTCCTGTCACTCAGTTCAGCCAAAGAGCTGCACAGAATAACAACGACAACAACTTGCATGTATCTAGCGCCCTTCACGCCCTTAGCGCGGTATCTCGGAGCGCTTAACAGTGTCGGAGCCCGATGACGAGCCGGGGGGGGGGAAGGTGACCGAATCAGTCCCAATTCTAGAAAAAAAGCATAAGAGAGAAAAATGATGAAATGACATATGTACGGTGTGTGGAATTTTTTTTTTAAAAAGGTCTAAATGGACTCACAAAGCTGAAGGGAGAGCTGCAAGTTGTCTATTGACATATGTTCTGGATTCTGTTCTGGATGCAACATGTGTTCATCCATTCGAGTAATTTTGCTGTGTAAAAGCTCTGGCAATGTTCAAACTCAGCCTGTTCTATTCCTTTCCCCCCCACAGCACCCCATTACCAACTCTACTCAGATTCATCCCAGTTCATGCCCAACTTCCACCAAAAGCCAGGCAATGCTGACATTTCTTCCCCCCACCACGATTTGCTCAAACTCAGCCCTGTTCTCCCCTCCCCCACATTACTCAGACTTTCCTAACCTCTCCAAAATCCACTCAAGTTTGCTAGCCTGAGTTCAGCTCACATTTAGCCAAGGATTTTTTAAAACCCGAATTTTATTTAATGTTCCTGGTTACGCTCTTACTCACATCTGCCATAATCATGAATACACTAAATACACACACTGACCTAATGGATACACATACACTCCTTCAAATACACATTCCTAACACTCAGTTGGGTACTTATAGCTAAACATGCTTATGTGTGTCCAAGGACATCGTACGCACATATGCATTTATTATGGCACAGATTTTAATATGTACAAGCAGCACAAATAGAAGCTTTCTATAAATCCTTTCTGTTCTATTAAAGATGGACATTCTGTAGAATTTTGCCAGTGTCCAGAATGAGTACTTAGGTAAAGTAAGAGAAGTTTAGGGCCTTCGTAGCATATGTACATACATATGTGATACATATATGTGATAAGGTGCTATGTCAAATGCAAGGATTATTATTACATACAGAATCTCTAACTGAACCGAAATTTCAAAATACAAACTAGAAACCTCAGTCAACGCTCATTAACACACTAACAAGGAATCTCTTTTAAACTGTTCATTGATACTAAATTCATCCTTGCAACCTTGATAAGGTTTGTCAAAATCTTCAGTGGCACATAATTGGGTTCTGTCTCCCATAATCATTCAATAATGGATGTAATCACCATCACTCTCTGGGATACACAACTAAATTACCTAACACAGGTAGATATCTACACTTAGACCACAAATCCCAAACTGTCCAGGTATACATACATACATACATACAAGAGTAGCAAATACATATGTGCAAACAGTATAACTAAATCTATAACTAAATCATCGGCAAGTGATAGGTCAATATTCTTTTTCCTAAACTGCAAACTCCAATTGGATGCTCAAGGGATTCACCTTTTTTTTCAGTCCTTGTGTTGCATGTTATTATTATTATTGGTATTAGTATTAGCAAACGGTGTTACTTGCTAATTTTCTACTGTCGCCTCATCTGAAGACACTGATGCTGTTACTTTTTCACAGTGACAGACTTCTGGTACCTCACACTGCCCTATGGGCACATTGTATTGAGTTGTTTTCAACTGATGTTTGTTTACAAGGCATTTCTGGACAGTGCTCAAGAGCAGGAACCCTGATTTGTACCCCCAGCCCAGGGATGCTAACTAAGGCCATTGTAGTAACTCTATTGACCGACAACACAGCTTAGTCAGCAGAGACCTGCCTTGAACCTGCAACCTTCTGACTGTGACATTCATTTGTACTTTTCAGTGTTTTGCATGTGTAAAAAGGCTCGCGAGGCTGTTAAAAACAAAAGCGATCCGCTGCTTTTGCCACAGAGATGGAAAGTCATTAAAACTTATGCAAATGCTACCTTTTTTTTTTACGCGTTTTAGAATTCATTCATTATCCGCCACAAACGTGTTGACCTGAGGGAAAAAGGCCTTTTTATTAGCACCCTGATGTTTATATGCAAGGATTATTATTATTATATAAATCGATCTCAGATTCAGATAGGTCTCACAACGGTTTCCTTTGTAATCTATCCTATCATCTGAAAATGTCTTGCTTAAGCGATAACCAGTGTCATCGCTTACGTATTTAAAGCATCTCATAAAGATTCAGCTTAGATTTGGTTTTCCCCTTTTAGTTACGAGTAGAGGATGCAATGCATTGCTTCACATTTGGTTGCAAACTTATTAATGTGACTGTGTCATGCAATGCATGCAATTCATTATCATGAAAGCATAACTACCTTTAAAGTGAATTGTGTGTGTGTGTGTGTGTGACAACTAGACACCCCAGTTATGATTAAATCAACATTGCATATGATTGCAAATTAAAAACAACCGAAAAACCCCTGTGTTTTACAAATGGGGGGGTGGGGGGGGGAGAGGGGGAAACTTGGCTGATAAAACTTTTTTAATTGGTAGAATAAAAAACTTGGGTCTTGTGGGCAAAGTTTTGCAGAATAAGGTGAAGGTTGGGGGGGGAAGACTTGCTTGTGCTTTTTATACTTTGCTTTGTCGAAGGGCGGCAGTCGAGAGTGTTTTATAAGAGAGAAAGGGAGCGAGAGAGAGAAAAAAAAACTGGTGGGTTTGAAATTCCTGTTTTTTTTCCCCCTCTGCAGCTCCTTTTCGAGCAGTTCAGCTCTGAAGGTCTCTGACTCAGACTGTGCGTAAAAAGGAGCCCTCTCTCCATTTGCAGTTTGGTTCGCACTGGGATTTATTGCTTCTCTCTCTCTCTCTCTTCTTTTTTGTTTGTTTCATTCCATATATATATATGTATATATATATCTATCTCTATACTCTATATTAAAAAAAGAAAGAAGAAAAAAAGACAAGAAGAAAAAAAAGAAGATACTTTTTGTGTGTGTGTGTGGTTGTGTGTGTGGTTGTGTGTGTGATTGTGTGGTTGTGTGTGTGAGTGTGAGTTGTGTGTGTGAGTGTGTGTTGTGAGTGTGAGTGTGATTGTGTGTTGTGTGTGTGAGTGTGTGGTTGTGTGTGTGAGTGTGTGTTGTGTGTGAGTGTGTGTTGTGAGTGTGTGATTGTGTGTTGTGTGTGTGAGTGTGTGAGTTGTGTGTGTGAGTGTGAGTTGTGTGTGTGAGTGTGTGATTGTGTGTTGTGTGTGTAGTTGTGCAGAAAAAAGGGGTTTTGGGTTCACAAACATATAAAGAAATCTGCAAGTTTTTGTGTGTGTGGCTTTTTCCTCCTGGATCGTTGGTGTGTGTGTGTGTGTGTGTGTTGGAGGGGTTTTTTTTTGGTGGAAAAGAAAAAAAGAAAAAAAGAAGGAAAAAAATCTCTCCCTCTCTCCTTCTCCCTCTCTCCCCCCCTCTCTCTCTCTCTCTCTGTGCTCCATCTGCTCCCAATTCAATGGGATTGGGAATTGCTGTAACATAACGAGAGGTCGAAACTTTTGCATCGTTTATTCCAGAATTAAATCAATTGCACCATTAATTTATCTTTCTTTCCCCAAACCCCTTCCTCCTCCTCTCCTCCTCTCCCCCCCACAGGTTTTTTTCCCCCCCTGGTACTGGTAGTGGTGGGGGGTTTAAACCCCCAAATCTTTTTTTTTGGGGGGGGTGGGGGGGTTTTTTAAGTGTGGGAGAGTGGAGTGGAGTGACTGTTAAAAGTTTCTGTGAATCCCAGGGAGGGAGGGAGTGAGTGTGTGAGTGAGTGAGTGAGTGTGTGAGTGTAAAAAAGAAGGGCAGATGTTGTCAGATGTGTTTCTTTTCTCCCCCAATGGGACTCAGAGAGAGAGAATGAAATAACGGGATGGAGTCGGTGACGGCCCCGGAATCCCACAGCAAAGCTGCTGCTGCCCTCGGGGGGTGAGTTGATGAGTTGTGTCTCTTATCCAAATTCTTCTTATCCTCTTTTCTTTTTTTTCTTTCTCTCTCTCTCTCTCTCTATCTCTCCCTCCACTCCCTCTTTGGTTTCGAAACCGAAACAGGGACAAGGGACCCCCCCCCCCCCCCCACACACACACACACACACACCATCACCACCAATGTGCACATGTATTCCTGCAGAGGATGGGGATCTGCTATAGACAGACCAAGTGGATTGGGGGGTGGGTGGTGGGGGGGGGGGGGGGGGAGGATGGTCAGGTCAGGTCTGGCAGCATCTATGGAGAGAGAGGGAGAGAGGGATGGGGTGGGGGGGGAGGATGGTCAGGTCAGGTCAGGCAGCATCTATGGAGAGAGAGGGATGGGGGGGGGGGGGGAGGATGGTCAGGTCAGGTCTGGCAGCATCTATGGAGAGAGAGGGAGAGAGGGATGCGGGGGGGGAGAAAGCGAGTTGATAACGTGGTCATGTCGAGGTAACTCTGTGAGGGACCGGTTCTGACCGAAAGGTCTTGGGCACCTGAAAGGGTTGGCTCACTTGCCTCTCTCTCCATAGACGCTGCCCGATCTGACCTGCTGAGTGTTCTCAGCCACTTCTGGTCTTATTTCAAGAAGCGGTCATTTGTATATAATATATAATATATATACCGTATAGAGGCTGTTCATCATCAGGAAAATCTGGTGCCTTAAAATCATGAGAACATCCCAATTTATACAATGTGATTTTAAGGAACCAGTTCTCAGGACTGAGCAGCCAGTCGTGTACTTATTTTTAAACAAGATGCTTATCCGTGAATGCAGTGTGTACAGCCATACAATCTCGTCTAAATTTGTGTGTGTTTTTTTTACACACACACACACACTCACACGTATAACGTATATATTAAAAAAAAAGGAAGAGTTTTGTGTTTGAACCGTGGTTACCAGATGGTTGGGAATTTGTAGGATTGCGTCGACGTTGAAGGCATTTCGCATCGAATTCAAGAAGAAATAGATTGATGCTCCAGAACTTAAAAGGGAGGCCGCTCACTAACTCCCGGCGTGGTTGGAGCGAAAGGGGATGAGTAGGGGAGCAAGCAATGTGGCTTCATCTTCCCATTTCCTCCTCAAATACAGACAGGCTTTGAATCTGTCAGTGCTTTCGAATTAGGGAGCGCCTTCAAAAGTCTTCTTGCAAAAGAAACCAAGTGGCACTTGGTGTGATGGAGGCAAGGCACTCACGACCTTATATTGTTTCTGTTGTGGACAAATAGGAATTAGATGTTTCTAGATAAGTGATGGACGTACGTTAAGGTGTTGGCAGGGGTTCGGTTGAGCTGACGACTATTGCCTACTTTTTCCATGCAAAAAAAACAACCCTTTGTGCAACATTTTAATCAGTGATCCCGATTGAGCGAATGGGCACCAAAGTAATACTAGGAACCGATTGGGTGTAACCGTAGGCAGATTAACGCTTTATTTAAAATTCATGCAATTATTTTGGAGGTGCGTTCAAATTTTGAATTTGCTGTAACTTCACTTCTCTGTCCTGATTAATGGGGTAAGTCGTTTGGAGACGGTGCCTGAACTGTGTGGCAGTGTTCTGCAAAAAAAATTTTCCCAAACTTTCAGGAAAAGTTTTCTTTCAGTTCCAAATCAAGCTACATCTCAGCCAGACTTACTCCAAAGATTCTTTGCCAGTAAAACCCAGACGGCTTTATAAGCTGCATTATATGAAGAGCGTTGTGGATGTTCACACTCCAGAAAAATACAGGTGAGAGAAAGAAAAGTTTCTGGGGGAGTGATTGTGAAAGAGTGAAATTCTTTTCTTTCCTCACTGATGGCTAAAAATAGCAGAGATAAGGGGGGAAACCATGTCACTAAACATCAAACAATTAGGAAGATTGTTTGCACATCGATTAATTCGCAAATTGACATGAATTTTTTGAAACATAAACTGAGTTTCCACAGGCACATTGCAAGTTTTGAGTTGATGAGAATCATTGTCTGTAGTTTTTATTCATTTAACTCAACTTACTTTATAATCACATTGCATAATCATAGTAAGATGGTATTCTTGCAGATGCACTGGGGACTAATTTGTGGGTTGGGTTGACGAGGCAGCCACAAAGTGTGTAGTTTGGGATAAGCATATGCAAACTCATGGGTACCCTTAATTAACAATTAACAATGTAAAGAATACAGAATCACCTGCAGTTCTTTTCACTGATTGTTAATTACATAATTAAAGACATTTGTAAATTAGTCTCTGCACATGTTTGCTCATCGTTAACCAAATTGGACTCTAATGTAATGTGCTGTTGCGAAACAGCATCGACTTGCATTTATACAGCACCCATCATGTAGAGCAACATCTCAGAATGCTTCACAGTAGTAAAGTGGGACACAGAGCCAGGGGAAGGTGATGATCATTCAGGACCATCAAGGGGGTGGTGTTTCTGGTGGGCTGTAAAGATACATAGAGGGAGCCAGGTGGAGGGAACGAGAGAGGCAGGGAGGGTGCAGAGGTTAAGGTGTAATGAACGACCAATGTAGTGGTCACCAGTGATGCAGAGAGGCCTGAGATAAAAGGCCCCACATAAATTTTTATATCTGAAAGTGTAATTAGGAACCACATCTTGATTGCTATTGTTTGGAGATGTAGTGCACACTTTAAATGGGTCCCAGCAATATATATTTTGGTCCTCCCCTTCCTAAGCCCTGGATTCCAGTCAGTTGCCAGCCTTGTGAAGTGCCTGTAGACATCCTCCCCATGTGAATTGTTATAAGTTTGCAATGTTTGTAAATTAAAAATGTATAATTTGTTGCTCGGAACTGTTACAGGCTGATGAGATTTGGTGATCAGTCTCTGGCAATGTCAGAAAAATTGAAAAACTACACCATATCTCTAACCCACAGAGATTTCTCTGTATTTTTGGAGGTCTGCCAGTCTATAGTTAGTATTACAAATATTCCTACGCAGTGAAGCTTGTAACAAACCAATACAGTTCAAGCTATAGTAGTCCATCTTTCATGAGGTGCCATTTTTATTCCCTTTAATGGAATAGAAGTTTCTTCTGTAATCTACTCTGGAGGGCATATTTACATTTTCTACATTGTGCTGGAAAATAAACTTTGATGCTATCACGCATTAGTTGCTATGTGCAATGTGCCTTTAGTTCTCATCTTGTTTTTGTTCTATTACATTGCTTGTCCCATGCTATATACCCAGCAAAAATGGTGAAAAGGTAAGATATCTGTTATAAACTATAACAAATATTTACCAGATGGTTACAAGACTGTATTTACTCGAGTCTCAACCGAGGTCTGTTTGAGTTTTGTTTTTGTGGCTGAATACATAACCAGAACTGCTTAGTTGAATTAAGGCCTTATAGCTCACTGGTAATCATTTATCATTTTATATATATATGTGTATGTATACTGCCAGGATTAGGTCCCCATCTGTGCAATGGGGACTATTGGGTAGCGTTTTTTAAATTATTACTTCTTTGGTACTTTATTAATTTTCTCTAGTTTCCTTGTGTACTATCTTCCCACAGAATGCAGCTTAATATACCAAGAGGGCAAGCTGCAGACATACTGTCAGATCTGTGCTGATGCTGCTTTAATGTTAGTCATATTGAGATGCATTAATGTCCCAGATCTACTGGCTTCCAATTTTTCTTCCTTTTCTGGCACTTGCTGATGGCAGCATGGCTGAGATCAGGAACTAAACATGTGGAGAATTGTTGGAGAGCCAGCATCACTCAGCATTACTATTCACGTTTAAATGATTATAATTTTATCCTGGACAATGTACAATCTTTTCCCATTGATACCAGTAAAGAAAAGTAAATATTTCAGTAAACGTGGCAACTTGTGCAGGATATGATTCCACTGGAGCAGTTGCCGGTCGTGGAAGATAGTGCATTAGATGGCAAATGATCTGGAAAGTTAAGCTAATTGTTTTTCGGTTCCAAACAACATTATGTTTGAAATAATAATCCTGCATTTGGTATAGCACCTTATTGTTAAGACGTCTTAAGGTGCTTCACAGAATGTACTGTAGAGTGGATTGACTGTGTATATTGTGGGCGAAATGACATTCAATATGCCCTCAAAGGGTGAAATAATATTTGAAATACACTGTTTTAAAGCAGGTGAAAATACACTCGAGTCTTGCAAAATCTATCGTTTCTCTCTATTTGCCGATATTATGAAAATGAAATCCCACGCAACCCTTAAGGTGTTCATGTCTTAAGTCCTTGTGTCACCATATCTTAAATATACGCTTTCCTAAATCTTTGCAGCTCACCTTATCAGCTCGATGCATGTGTGTACCAAGTTCCGCCTTTCTTCAACTTTGTATTTGCCCCAAACTTTGCACCTTCAACGATTTTTACATCAGCCGCAAATTGCACTGTATCAAGCCTCCACATTTCCCCAAAGGTCCACTGAATGTGGCCTACAAAATTTCTTCCAATCACGTTTGTCCCAACATTGTCCGATGCGTCCCAACATATCGAATGCAAGGATTATTATTATTATTATATTTTGTGCATTCCAACATATTCTTAGGCGCCCCAGCATTTTTTAGGAATGCAACCATATTTAAGTTAGTATAACGTTGTTCTGTTCCTACAGATGCCAGCTGTATCCTCTCTTTATGAGTTTACTGTGAGTTCAGCTGTATTCTGTTAGTGTCATGCAGTGTATACCCAGTCAACAGCAAACAGCGAGATTGTAAGATGAATAAAATTATAAAAAGCTAAATACTCACCACCTTCCCTGTGGGGTATTTTCTGTTTTCAATTCACCTCAAATCCAAAAAGCAATACAGAGGCAAATTGAAAACAGGAAAGTGTTCTATAACTTGCTCTATTGTACTATATCCATCAAAGGGAAATTAAAAGGAAATTAAAATGTTTCAAAATAAAGAATGCCAAAGACGCACAGGAAGAGAATTGGTTTGAGTTCCTGAGCCAAACCAACTAAAACCAAGATAAAGAAATACTGTAGTAAAACAAAAAAATATAGCCTTGATGATGACTGTATGACGTTAAACGATGAGTGCTCCTTTTGGTCTGTTGTTAACCGAACAGATACGGTCTCTTTCCATCAGTTTTCATTGATTCATTTTACTTTCCTTTATTTCTCTTTAATGTAACATCAGTCAAGTCAACACCAGTCTTCTTTGGAAACGTTTAGAATTCATCTTTTAAAAACAAAGCGCAAACAGATTGATACATTTGCTTAACATTTTTACAAGATAACTATCTAGTTAGGTTGTTTGCGTATAGAATAATGTTAATGTGTGCACCACTTTTCATGTTTATGCTGATACATTTTAAATGATTTAAGTGACAAGTGACTAATAAGAAGGATTTGATGTCGCGCCTTATCACATTGTCACGCCTTTCTTATGCTTAAGAAGAAATAAAAGGTCTTATTCTTATTTCTTTTTATTATTGAAACAAAACATAAAATACGGCACGTATAACAGAAAAGAAAACGTCACAGAACTCTTCAGTTCACGCTTTAATATTTGCCGAAAGTAAATATTACCGATGTTCATAAGGCAATTGATAGGTCTCCGATGAGACCACAAAATGTCTTGGCAGTAAAGCAGAATTTGTTCCCACCCCTTATCGTCTGTTTATGCTACAGCCCCATAGATAGTTTGTTAAATGTAGGTCAGGATGATCTCAACCGAATGCAGCCTGCCAAAGTTTATATTTATATTTAACCCTGCCCAACTTATTTAAGAAATACACTGTGAGGTAGGATTGACAAGAAAACTTCTTTAAGAATTCAGATCTTCAGCTGAGAACAATACGTTTGTATCTATAAATCCAAACTCTATTTTTGTTGCTCTTCACCAAACTATTGTGTCCCATTACAAACATCTATCCTAACGCGTTATTCCCAAACATCTATTTATTGTTTTTAAAAATTATTTGACACTGCTTCAAATGATTTTGATGAGCATATTTTACACGTAATTACTCCTGTGTATTAATAATAATAATAATAATAATAATCCTTGCACTTGGCGTAGTGCCTTATCACTTCGTCGAAATGTTTCAAAGCGCTTCGCAGAATATATTGTAAAGCGGATTGACTATTTTGTGCGCGAAACACGGCAGACAATTACGCACAGCAGCGTCCCACAAACAGCCGTGTATTGAGTGCAATGGAAAGCTTAAGTCAATTAGTTTGCTCATGTGTAGATTATCTGTGCTTCTCAGCTATGAACCTCTCCTCATAACCTAAAGTTGTTAAGACGCAGAATGCTTTCAATATTTCAGTGTCCTTTTTAAAGTAAGGTTCCCAGAATTGTTCACAGTATTCCATATGTGCTCTCACTATCATTCTATGCTGGTTGACATAATTTATTTACATTTTTAGTTCAATGCCCCCACTCAAAATGCAAACTAGGATTTCATCAGCTTTGTTAACTAGCTTTAAATTAACTGGAACCCATCTTCGAAGAGTAAATAATCATATCCAAGTAGTTTTCTTTGACATTTCTGCTAAACATCCTTTGATTTTGTACATTGGTAGACACTGTCGTGTCTGGGAGTTCATCTTTTAGGTTGAATATCTCTTGTCTTCAAAATCTACTGATTCAGTGCCAGTAGGAGGAGGAAGATTTGGAAAATATTATGATTAAAGATAAATCTCATATCTCGGTCTGCAATGTAGTTTTTGTCTGATTGTTTGAATCTATAGCAATCTCTGCATTGCTAAAGTTAGCTTAAGAAAATATTCTGGCTAATTTCCTACAGTTTGTCGTGGAGATGCAATCAGCTTTTCTATGTTAGATGCTGATTTACCTGCTGTGGTTTTCCAGTATTCTGGTTTTATTTTAGATTTACAGCAATACAGTTTTTGAACATAAAGAACAATAAATTGCATTTGTATTGTGCCTTTCATTTTGGGAGGAAGTCCCAAGGCACTGGACAAATCAAAATACAGTAGAATACAATACAATTTGCTGTGCAAGTTGCACCCAGAAAGCTGAACAGGCAGCACGTTGAAGGCTTCGAATCAATATATTAGGCTGAATCGGGATTGAAATCGGTCTTGGAAGGGGAGAAAAAAGAATCTCTTTTCTTTGCAATACTCCAGATTCTCAGTCTGTGAAAAACATTTTCACTCTGGTTTTGTACTGTATTTTCTGTCATTTACTACCACTGTAGGACAGCATTTTCTTTGTTCTTTGATGTTACCTTTGATTCGGTTTCTTGAAGCAACTGACGAAAATCTAAACGTGGAAATAATGGCAGATTAACTTCAGCAAACGGATGGATTAGTGGAGCGAAGCAGAAGATGGTAATGAAATGGAAAATGTTCCGTATGGAGTCAGCGATGATCACACTTGTGGTTGTATCTGTTCTGAATGCCCTCCTGGTCATGCTGTTCTTAAGCAATACGAATATTTTTTGTTGATGCTACATGTGGCCAGGTCAAAAATATAGAAAAACGTACGACATTCAAAGTGACCTGAATAAATTCAGTGTATGGGTTAAAGCATATGTGTTAAGCATATCCATGGCTGTAACATGAAATGTGGCCAACAATGAAGATATAAAGGAAAGAGTTTGGATGTGTGCCTTGATCACCGATCCAGTCGTTATGAAGCGGGTATCAGCAAAGCTAATGATGATCTGTGATGCACTGTCAAAGTATTTGATCATTAGTCGAAACAACTCATTCGAAATATGTGATCTTGTCATAATTTTAACATTGGTGTTACAAAACTGCAATTTGGCAACTCTCAAATAGGTGATGATGTCCAAATAAAATATACAAGAATTAAAGTGTAAATCAACACTTGTGCTAACTTTGTGGCTCCTATGTATTCAGCATAGGAAGTTAAAAAAGAAATGCTGAGATAATTCATAGACCAGTAGCACATGTTAACCAGAAATACATTTTATTTTACCTTTTAGCTAATAAAATTTATTTTCCTTTTGTACCTAGGAGAGCCCTAATCCTCTGTGCTGTATTATACTGTACTTGTTACCTGGGACTTGCACAAGTACTCCCTGAAGGTAAGACACGCTGCATAAAATATTTTGCTATAAAAGAATGTCATTTGAAAATATTTTATATTTAGTTTAGCTTGGAGGCTTCCTCTCAACATGAAAGGCACTATGTCAAACGTAAATATTATTATAACTTTTTTTGGACTAGATTAAAGTGGATGAGCAAGCACTGTTTGCTGCTAACTTTATATAGTACATAACGTACATGTGTTTGCACTCACTGTCTAGTCTAACTCTGTTAACAATACAGTGCTGGGGGAGTGCTGCAGATGAGATATTAAACCGAGGTCCCATTGAGGCGTTTAATACAGTAGACCGCACATAAGTCATTATCAGTCGGGGCTGTAACGTTTAATGTGATTTACTCAACGTCTTGAGTTGCTAGCAAGCTTTCGAAGCCGGATGAAATCCGATTTGATCAAGAACCCACACTGCGAATGAGTAATTCAGTGCAGCCGGTAAGTGTGCATGTGGTGATGGGTTAAGGCTCCATTCGATGCTTCTCTTGCCCTGGCGCCACATGTGCAAGCAATGGAGGGCAGGGGAGAAGCGTTACGAGTTAGTAGGTGATTAATACGAGTAGTGCAAATAAATCTTAAGTGGCTTTGATAGGAAATTCAATGGGACTCAGGTGAATGTATGACATAGGTGATTATATGATTTATAAAGGTAACAACTGTGCGAGTTTTACTGTATATTACGAGCCTTGTACTATCGTAAATAATAGTTTTTATCGGGCTCTTAACCTGAAGCGCGACTATTTGTGCATAGTCCTGTCGGACGTTTGATGAATGTGGAACCTTAACCCAAAGGACCTTATTTTGAATGTTATTTTAGTGTCATAATTTTCTTGGAATCAGATTTTTATGAGTAGAACAGAACCATGTGTCAGCCTGGCTCAACGTCAGATGATTGGAACTTTGAACTCATACTCTCGGGTGACACGAGGGTGTATTGTCAAAGGTGCCGTCATTTGGATGAGACATTAAACTGAAGTCTTGACTTCCAGTTCAGGTGGACGTTAAGGACCCCGTGAGACCATTCAAAAAGAGAAAGGAGTTTCTCCCTGGTGCTACATTTCACAGCCGTTTGTGAGATATTGCTTTGTGCAACCGGCTTGTGTTCACCTACTGCACATTGCAGAAAATTGCTGCACATTACAGAAAATCACTGCGTGAAAGTGCCTTGAGACGCTTCAGTGTGATGAGGTGTCATGATTAGATACATGGGTTAGTCTTAATATCAATCGTTCCTTTCAGACATGAATTACAAAATCTGTCCCTCGGAGTAAATTCTTGGCAGATTCTGAGTGATACTTAAGTTGATCAGTCCCTCAGTACAGAACACTTGACATATTTCAAGAGCTGCAGAATTACTCCTAAAGTGCAGAATACTGGCAGATGCTGTGAGGATTGATCGCAGCGTTGCAAACACGCAGCGACAGAATACCGATACCTGGGAGAGAGAAAAGATGAAGGAATTTCTGCTGAATGTTCACGGTTTCTTTAATATATTGTGAACTCGGCAAAGGTGGCTTTGGAATGTCAAACGGCAGCTGAGCCTCAGTCAGAATTGCAAACTTAGGAAAGTTACAATCAGTAGTTTTATTCATCGTTAATTTTGAATTATTACTGGAGTTTTAATATGAACCTATATCATTATTTGTAATATTATTCAGAAGAATACGTAGGATTACTTAATTCCTTACTCTCCAATGAAATTGGAATCACGCCAGACCTCACGCTCATTCGTCTGGAAATCAATTCCTCTTTTGATTTTATTGTCCACATAAAATCCTGAAACGTCTAACCCATTTTAGCAGTAATTCAAGTGCATTTGAAATCTTTGCCTGTGGCTTCAGGTATTGACTAATGTTTACTTTGGACTGTTTGTTCACTTGTTTGTTTTTGCTTGTGTTTATTTTACCGGAAACATCAATGTTTAGAGGCTTCCAGAAAATGGATTGCAACAAGCATTTTGTTGATCTTATGGTTTGGAAATATCTTGATTGTGCAGATGCGAAATGATAGGAACTATTGTTGCCCCATTTTAAAATCAATCATCCTTTTTTTTTCCGCATCGGGAGGATGACCTAAGGTGCTGGAACAGCTTGGTCCTCTTGCTGACCAGCCCTGCGGAAAAGCTCCCCGAGGTTTAACATTCAATGGCTTTATTTTAAGCATGGTTATAGGTTTCCACGTGTGACAGACACCTCAAAAAAAAAAAAAGAAATCATCAGTCATCCTGATGTTACAATGCTACTTGAGGTAATAACAGAACCAAAGACTTGGAGAAGCTCGAAATATTTTTTTTCCCCAAATTCTGGCCACGCTTTACAACACATAGTTAATAACCCATTTTAGTTGAAACTTTAAGGATCCCATCCAAGTCACAGCTGCCAGGAAAGCTTAAGGGTAGAAAATTAAGCCCTAATAAACTTTGCATGTGTAAAGCATTTTAAGTATTTTTTTAAAAAAATAAAAAAAATAAAAATTCCTGGATCACTTTGCTTTCTATTAAACGTGTCAGGTGTCCTCGACTATTTTGCGTAGGTTTTTCCTAAGCTTGCTTTTGTGATGAGCAAGTATGATGGGTTGATTTCTTGTGGTGATATCAGCAGCACATTTAAGCTCAACTCAGTCCCACTGACCTCAGGACCATGGACAGCAAAGAGAATCCCATCAAACTGAACTCTTGATAAACACAACAGCTAAACAGGCACAGCTCATTAATATTGACGTTTATTATATATAACAGCTGTTAACCTGGAGTCAGTAAAGATAATTTACAGCAGTCCATTACATCTGATATTAGACTTATCAAATTGAATCGCTCTGGGTGAGGCAGAAACTGTTCGTTGTCCTTCACCTCTTGTTGTTGCTGGTGATGACCTACACAGTGCATTTCCGTTGTTGTACAGCTCTTTTGCCCTCAGTATTTTCCACCTTGAAAATTCTGCATTTTGGCTGTTAGGTTTTGCTGTGTTGTGCTGGATTATAATCGGCATAAGTTTCAATTATATCTACTATATCTAGATAATTATTTGGGGAGGACAAGTTTGCAGGGCTATGGGGAGAGAGCGGGGGAGTGGGATTGAATTGGATAGCTCTTTTCAAAGAACCGGCACAGACACGATGGACCGAATGGTCTCCTTCTGTGCTGTATAAATTCTATGTTTCTATGATTCCATGAACTGTTTTGTTTTCCAAGTTAAATTATGATTCACGATGTCTGATCCAACACAAATTATTTACTAATTTTAGTTATTTTTATACATAATATAGCGCCCCGGGATGCCACCCCGGGTGAAAGATGCTAGATAAATGCATGTTGTTGTTGCATTCACCAAGCAGTGCACTTTGGTGACGTCAGTGATTGCATCAAAGTGTGACATTGTCTTGCTGAGGCTCCGCTTGTGTTTAGGTCACTGCTGAAGTCTGTTTTAGGTTTCCAATACTATGTGATCCATTTAAAAGCTGTATTTGAAAGAACTGTGTGGTTCCCTGATGGTTCAGTGAATTTATCAATTGAGTATGTGAACTGTGAAAATTTAAACCAGTTTTATTCCGTGTCTCAGTCGATCTCTGTTGGAGCAGCAGTGGGGGGGGGTGGGGGGCAGAATTATTCTCAGTGTCTCAGATTAGTGAAGGGAAAATCAGACAGATTTTTTTGATTTCCTGTCCAATTCTCTTCCTAACCATGTATCGTGTTTACAGATGCCATGTGAGGACAGAATTGGGCTCAGCTGTGACTCTTCCACAAATGAGGGAATTGATTTAAATTGAGAAAGGCCTAGAACTAAAATGATAGTAATAATAATAATCCTTGCATTTGATACAGCGCCTTGTCATGTCTTGGTGACATCTCAAAGCGCTCCACAGCATATACTGTCAAGCGAATTGACTGTATATTTTGTGGGCGAAACGCAGCAGCTGTGGAGAAAGGTTTTTAATATACATGATGTGTAACCCACACTGTTATGCATAATGGACGAGGCCCAATGCGTGCTGATAAACGAGCATTACACCGAAATGCGGTTAAAAACAAGGCAGCGTTACTGCTGGAGGATCCGCGAAGTCCTTCTCCACGTACTAGAGGGAAGACATGAGCCGTCAAAGAAATACAATGCAACCCTATTATAACACATTTTGTTCTAACAGTTTGCTTCTGGCACGCTTGGATTGTGAACTGATGCAAACAAACCCCATTACGCATAACGCACTTCATTATAGAGTGAGTTCTGCTATAACCTGGTTGCATTGTGTAGGTGTCCAACAGGTCCCTTGTCTCCCATGTGCCAGCTGGCTTTTTGTCCTGAAATATCTGACTTCCGACCATCAGATTGCCGCTGGCGTCATCTCCTGTGTTGCTGTGGGATGGCAGCAAACAGGAAATGATGGTGAGTCAATGACCTCACAGTTGTTCAACTTTATCCTTCAGTCACAAACTTATAGGCTGTGGAAAATCCTGACTCCTTGGCTTTATTGTGCTGGATGGTGATTGTAGTACTATTTTTAACTACAGTTTATGGACACTGAGAGGCCAGGTAATTCTGTGCCAGGAAAATTCAGCGGAGAATCACTGACTAAAAAGGAGAATAATGGCTATTTTCCTTCCTACAGAGTTAAAGCTGAGAGGTGGTTTTCTCTTCAACCGTGCCTTCACCCCCCCTCTTGACTCTCTACCCCCTCCTCGCTCCCTCCCTTCCCCTCACCCTGACCATTTCCCCCCCAATGCTCGGGTCCCGACCCAACTGTCCAGAGCCTTGGGATGTCCTCCCGACATGAAAGGCGCTCTATAAATGCAATCCTGTTGTTGTTGTTGAAGACAAAGTGAAGGACTTGGAAATTCAGTGTGTAGGATTAAGGCAGAACTTGACTTGATGAGAGATTTGGGCACTTTCACAATTTCAGGTTTAGATTTCCCCAAGTGGGCCATCTGGATATTCTTGTGAGGGATAGGATAATATATTAAAACCAGAAACAATATAGAGCAACGAACATCAG